GCTAGCTGTTGGCCAGCAGCCACAGAAAGCTGAAGAAGGCCACAGAAGCTCTTCGGTTCGACGAAGAGGGGGAATTGCCAGTCGTCTTCTTTCAGGCCGAACCCCCCCCCAGACCTCCCAGCCCGACTCGTCGCGGATTGGCCCTGCGGATAGCCGCCTCCACCTCCACCCCCTACGTAGCTCACCGGAAGAGCGCAGGGTTTGCCCTGAGGTAGCTGGTTCAGCTCCAGCCGCCGTCACCATCCCAGAGGTGGAAGCGCGCCGCGTGCTGCAGCCATGGATCGTGTACGGCGTGCCAATGCTGCTGCGTGCTTTGTAGGGATCTAGCGTGTCTTGTGCGCGTTGTTGGTGCCATGAATTCAATGACTAATAGCTTGCTAACATGCACGTGTATTTTGCTCTTATCTTCGTCGTTTTGTTCTGTGCCAGTGTCTACGTACTAGCTACAAGCTCAAGGCCATCCTGGCGCTCGGGGTCTTGGACGGCAGCAGCACTACGCAGCTGCTGCAGACGCGTGATCTTGTCGTTAAGGGCGCCTCGCTGATATAGGTCGTGTAGATGCTTGCGAACTGCCGTGGAACCGCGCGACTTGATCTCAAGCCTACCGAGAAATGTTAGCACCGCTGCTTCAGCTTGCTTGCCGAGCGCGAGGACTTGGTCACGGTAATTGATAGCGCTTGGGTCCAGCTTTAAGTCGTCAGCTACGAACAGCTTCATGAAAGCCACGAGCTGTATTGCGTTCGAGCGCTGGAGTTTGGGGGCATCATCCAGTCCGAAGGGCTCCTGTGCGTACTACGCAAACCATGTTGCGTGAAGGTGAGTCACTGATGTCCGTCTGCGCTCGGTTTTCTCTTGTTCTTGGCTTGGCTCTTGCTGACGTTTCTTGTTCGTGTCGTGTGTTGTACCGCCTTCTTGCTTAGCCTCTATGATATCCATGCGCTCATCTTGGCGCTTGATGTGCAACATTAACTGGTTAATCACACTCCGTTGGTGATCGATTATCT